AACGGATAGACGATGCCATACCCATTCTTATACTGTACATGACTCAAAGATCTTGACCACTTTTTTTTTTTTTTTCTCCCAAGTTATAATTAAAAAGAATGGTTTTGATTTCTGGTCAGGAATTCTTACTATCAGAGAAACTGTTAGGTAAGCCCAGGTAGTAGCTGTGCAGAACTGGTGTCCCCATCCTTTAATTGCACGGTGATACATTAGTGTTATACAAGTTGAAAGCAAGCCTTGGATGCATGGGAGTCTTGAGAGGACTATTGTTTTCTTTGTGTAACAGGCGACCACCAAAAGATGGGTTGCTTAGAGAAACACTGTGACCTTTACAATCAGATAAATTGGTCGTTTCTCTCTGAATGTTCTTGTTTTCTCTTTTCTAATGTGTTGTATTCAAATTCTTCACATTCAGGTTGTACATATGCTTTCTTGAAAGCATATGAAGGGATAATAATCCACTATTTTGGTGCTCAGTGCCTGCATTCTTATTACAGTGAATTGTCAGCATATGTCAATGAATGGTGGCCATTCTGTCCTCAGTTTGTTTTAAAGGGAAGATGGATCTGATAGAGAAGAGGCAGAAAGCAGTAAGCTACAGAACCATAAAACAAACAAACAAAAAAACACTAGACAGAATTGTTGCATTTTTAGCAGTGAAAGAAATAATTTAGCAAGTTCAGTATGGGTTTTACAGGGGGAAAAAAAAAAGCTATTATTAGCCACCAACCTTGTAAGTCTTGAATCGAGTCTTACTAGATGCATAGGTGCAAGCTCAGTTGTGGATGGATTTTATTTAAGGTAGGAAAAAAAATTATTGCAACTTGTTTTACTGAAATTGTATGTAAACTTTTCATGCTGTGGAGAAGAATAAGTTGTTTTTTTTTTCTTATTATAGCACTACCAGAAGAAAGCTACATAAAACCCTACAGTTCCTCACTAATTCTGCAATTAGAAAATGTGTGTGCTTAAACTTGCGTTTTTAAGGGTTTATCCTGAAGATCTGCTTGCACTGCAGTAAAAGCACTAGGAAAAACAGTCTCATAGTGTGTTCATCTCAAAAAATGTTTTTCCTTCCACACAGTTCCCTCATATGGCATTATTTTGATTCTCATTGCTCTGCTACATAGTTACATCTGCCTGCTGGATTCTGTATTTTAATAGGGTTAAGTACAGGTTAGAAATATCCAAGTTATGTATCAGAAGCCATCCACTTTTCAAGTACTTGTGAAGTTTCTTTTGCAGTATTCAAAATTTTAAGGACTTTTTTCTTTACTTCTTAGGATCTTAACCAACGTGTGATTACTTTTTTAAAAGGGCTCAGCATGCTAGTGGTTACCTTTATTATGTTTAGAGTATAGGGAGGGATATTTCCATTTTCAGATTCCCTTTACTTTACACTGCATTAATATAGAACTACTGCAAACTTTTTTCGTTATCTGTTGCACCATACCACTTGCAACACGCAAAGTTATAATAAAATTAACTAAAACTCTGGGTTACACCTTTAGAAGAAAACAATTCACATATAAAAAAGGTTTTGAATTTCATTGCAGTTTCTCAGAGATCAGGGTTTTTGGAGTAGGTGGAGCCCTGTTATTTGATATTTGACTTGAAAATAGAGCAAAGGGAGAATGAATGCTCAGATTACGCACATTTTGTACTAAGAATTACCTTTTTGTGTATATGTTTCATAAAATACACAGCACAACGTGTGTGGAGTTCTTCAGGATTTGGATTGTTAGGTGAAACAAAACCCCAAAACAGTGAGTCCAGCTCTTCACTCCAGAAGAATAATATAAAGCAATATCAGTCTCTCAAAACTTGCTTTTCTTAAAAGTGGCAATTTTATTAGGCCCTGAAATTCAGAATGATAAGAGCATGTATGCTTTGATAAGAAAAAGCAAATGCTTCTGAAACAGCAATAAAAATGTATTCATGAAGAAATTCACTGAAAGTATCATGCTTATGGTGTTGTCTGCAAATACTTCAGATAATAACACAGCTTGGTATTTCAGAGAGATGATTTCCTCATGATTTCACACATTGTTTTCAAATAACGTAGATTGTAGTCTGCTGTTATGGAACAAAGTGACTACATACCAATAAGGTGGGGTGATTTTGTTGTTATTTTTTCACTGCAGAAAGTGTATGTTTTGTTTTTTTTTTTTAAGCCCTACGTTTAATTTCAGTGTCTTCATTTATTTTGGTTATTGCTGGTTTACTTCTGAAAAGGCTACATTTTGTCACTTGTATTTGACCTTTGTCTTGCTCATGCTCTAGTTATGGAAAATGCAGACTATTACACTTAAATAAGACTGGCTGTAGAGATGTATTTTCTTGAGTAGTGTGGGTGTCTACGCTGTTCATTGATGCAATGTACTGTGGAATGTCAGCCTTAATTAGTATATCAAACTTCTTGTGGGTGGGATGCAGCATTGGTGCGGAGACATGAGTTATTAGACTACACCTCCTACTGAGTTAGTTGTTTTCTTTCCATCCTTTTATTCTAACTGTAATGATTTTGTATGCCATCGACACAAGGAGGGAACAAACTGTTAACACTTTCTATGGATTTGGAGCTAGAGTGTCGTCTTTACAGATTTTCATTTTAATTAACGTTGTTATATTACAATTTTTAGAGAACCATGTTCATTGAACTGGCAAGATGGTCCTTTTGGATAGTAACTTACCAGCATAAAGGGGAAGGAAACTAACTGGTTGGAGCCATTCTTGCTGCGCGCGGGTTTGTTCCTGCAGAGACGAAAAGTTCTCAGTCACGTCCCTAAAATGAATTGGCCAGAACTCAGCCTGGTTTTAGCTTGGTGTCTGGGCTTTAGTGGAGTTGAAGAAAGAATGTTTTAGGGGTTGTTTTTCCCAAAGAATTTAAAAAGTAGCTCTTGCATTTGCATTTTTAAGACATTGGATTTGACTTTTGAGACTATTCTTCAAGTCTATATTAAAGCTTATTGAAAACAAAGAGAGCAGTCTAAAGTTCCCTGAAATAGCGTTGGATCAGTTCCCCTGACTGTGAGTCCACAAGAATAGGACACATTGTCCTTTCCTGTATGTCAGGAAAGTGATTAATACTTCAAAATGTGGTTAGCACTTCACAGATCCAAATGCAATTAAATGATAATAGGTACTAAGAACAACTAAGCACCTGCAGCTCCTTTTGAGAAATGAAGGATAGCTGCAGCTGATCATCATGTTTTGAAGTCTGAACTCTTCATTAATTTTCTATGAAAATGCTATAATAAAACTCTTCAGTGATTGTACCAGCGACAGTGTGAAGTAGCTAGCAAAATTGCAGCTATTCTCAAGCAAAGCAGCATTCATAAAGTTGTATAGATGTTTAAAGTAGCTGTCACTTGATGTGGCAAATTTCATACACAGTACTTCAATGTTAATGGTATCAATGTACCCAAGTTTTTAAAATAAACTGTAGATTTCAAGTATCAGCTTTATTTCTATTTACTGTTAAGGAGTCAAAGAAAATATTTGGTATAGTTTCAAAGCTGTATTTTCATTTGTGAGAAGATTAGCTGTTAATGAAAACCAGTAAGCTGATGACTTGTAAATAGTTTATAAAAGTAGAAAACTAAGTACGTAAACAGCGTTTTTTTGGAAGTATGTTAATCCTAGTTGTTCTAAAAGATTGGCTTTTATAAGGTATGAATGTATTACCTTCATTTCTTTGAACTTTTGTTTTAAGGTCTTGTTTGCTAATAAACGAGAGACTCGTGATTGACTAATGTTAATCATAGTTTTAGAACTCTGCTTAAAGATGTTTTGAATTTGACTTGTCTCTCTTAACACTGACTAATAAAACAGCATTAGAAACTGTTTGCTGAACTGTTCCAAAGTCACTGTTAAACATGACTTCTGTGTAAGGTAAAAAGGAAGCACACTTTTATTTTCTCCTTTAGATGAAGGATATAATCTCTGATTCTTAATCTGTAGCAGCAGTTTGTTCTTATGTCCTTTTGAGACGCCGGTCACTTTACATGAAGTTGCCTATTAGAGTTGCTTTTGTAGTGGTGATGCAGTTAGCTGGAAAAAGGGCCAATATTCCTCAGCCTAAGCTCCATAATAGTGAAATCACTTTTCATATTATGCCAGTTCTCTTCTGTTGCACGTGATGAAAGATAAATGAACTCTCTGGTGGATAGGCAGCAGATGCTCCTCTTCTGAAGACATTTACATTTTCTTTTCTTCCCTAAAGCGCTAACTTTCACAAGGATAACCTTTTGAACAGTATGGCTGCATCATCAAATATGGTTGTGATGTATTTATTTAGATAGTATGCTGAAAATGTCAAGGATATATATGTTGGTTTTTCAACAGTTCATCCATGGTGAATTAATATCATGGGACTAGGAAGACTGCTTTTTTTTGTTGTTATTTCTTTGTGCCGGAGACCGTGTTTTTTCACCACTGTCCATAGAAACCTCTTAAGAGTTAGTCTGCCCTGACTATTTTGTATGTGCTTAGTACGGACAATTTCCACTTTTCAGCAAAGAGCAGGACAGTCCCTGTGGTGGAGAAAGCAGTGCATCAGTGCTCCGAGTGCACCGGTATTTCAGTGACTTTGCCAATATCTTTGAGAAGGGAGTGGAAGCACTGCTGCCCTATCATCCATATGACTGTTGGTGTTCTCAGAGCTTTGGTTCAGTGATTGAACCATACCCCATCTACTCCGTAAAAAGCATTAGCAGAGCTGGGCTCCAGGCACTGCTGCTCTCTCCACATTGACAAGTCAAAGAAAGGGAAGCAGGTCTTCAGTGTCCTACTCTAAGTACTCGGTCCCATGTGCCCAGTTCAAGGTCATGGGACATCTTTATGGTCAGTGGGGTTGCGTGCCATAAGTACAGTCAGGCTCAGGATGCCTCTGAGGAGGGCTAAGCTAGCTAGTTCTGAATGTCTGTTTTGAGATCTCTGGATGGTTTTTGAATGGATTACAAAAGGTGAGAATTCTTCATTTTTCTTGTTCTTTCCAGGGGACATGAATTTTGGGTGGATTTGAATGTTATGAAATTATATGAAACTGTTGAGTTTGACCAAATGCGGAGGCTGTCCACACCTTCCTGCCCCAGCTCCAGCTCCAACTACTACACAGTCTGGAAATACTTCTGCAGGGACCACTTTGGTTGGAGAGAATACTCTGAGGTATTTAACACATGCCAGAATCATGCTTTTGGGTTCTAATGCAAAACTACACTAGCGTTTTACCCTCAGGTGACCTGAATGTTACTTGGCCTCTCTTTAAGAGAAAAGTAATGACTCTATAATATGTAATATGTCCTTTATTTGGGACCACTGCTTTTCACTGACAGGGAGATGGGTAATTTTCTGCCCAACTGGGAGTCTAATTTGTAACAGACCAAAGATTTTGTCTCAAAATTATTTAAATTCACCCAACACCTTATGACCACAAAGAGCTCAGCCTACAGCCAAATTCCCACAAGTTCTATTGCAAAGGGTATATGTGGAAAGCCTCCGGAGAATAGAGGTTTGGGAGTGATTTTAAAACATGATTCAAACTTTTAGAAATGTACTGTGCTGTATCATCTAGGAAGTAGAGGCCGAGTGACGCTAGCAAACTGAAGGTAAAGCTTAAGTATTTTCGATGTGACCATCTACCACCCGTGCATAGTTTTCCTGTCAACACCCATTCATTTCAGTTTAGTCATCTGGGGTGGAGTATGGAATTTTAACTGATGGACTCAATCATGCTGTCTGGGCACCCAAACTGAGCTAATGTGGCTCTGTTCTGCTGCAGTGGGGAGATGGTCTAGAATTCTTCTTAAGTGTTCCCTGCCATTCAGGAGGAGTGCCTGTTCAGGAGGCACAGCCCTCTTTTTCGGTTCATGTGAAAGATGGCTGAGTACTGTCTGAACTTGAAGGATTACATTTATTTTTGTCTTGAAGAGAAATAAAAATGGCTGCAGCTGACTGGTTTTACAGAACAATCCAGTGTTTCAGTATCATTCAAAGCCGCTAAACTAAACCTCCAGCGTGTTTCCCAAGCAGTGATTTCAAAATTTCCTGGTACTTAGAAAGTGGAATTGATTGCTTCCAATAAAACTGTGGGACCATTTGTAAAATAAGTTTGGTAATATTTTTATATTTTCAATTTGTTTTCCTCTAAAGTCTTAAACATTTAGGAAAGTTACTTAAACAGAGTTATTTTTGAGGAAGATAAAATTGAGTACTTTGGTATTGAATATGGTTTGCAGAAAAAGCAATAAAATTAGAGCTATGCACTGCTGGACTGCTCCATGAATTATCCCTGAGAACATTTGAGGCATAGAAGGTGACTGTCAAATTTGAGAGCAAACTGGCCCATGCCGGTTTCAAGAAAGTAATTTCTAATCCCTAGAAGTCTGGTTTTAAAACAAGGGAGACAGTTTTCTGCAAGCTTCTTAACGCTACCATTTAGCTTTTTATTTTTTAGCTTATTTATCTGTCCCTCAAAGATATTACAAAGTAGGATGTGAACCCTCAGAGTCATTGAATCTAATCCCTTGCTGCCTCATAGACAATGTTATACAATCACCTTTAGTAAATGGGTCAATCTCTATCCTAAAAGTAGTTACAGATTTTGGTCCTCAGTGCTCCAGTTGAAAGGTAATTCCAGAACTTCCATACACTAATATGTAGGACCCTTTTTCTAAATTTTCTATTTTGAATCTGTTCATCTGGCAAATCTGTTTCTTTTTGAATACGTAATTTATGTTGTGCATGTTTTTGTTTTCTTAATGTTTCTCAAAACAGCCTGTTGTAAGACTGATAGAAGAAGCCAGCTGCCGGGGTCTGAAAGAGGTTCGATTTGTTACCTGGCATAATCAGTATATCTTAAATATCAAAGATGGATTCCAGCAAAATGCATGCTTCAGAAGAGAGATCAAGAGAAGACCCCTTCTTCGTTCATGCATTGTGCTGATGCCGTTTTTACAGTATGTATCCCAGCAAAATGAAAACTTTACATTTCAAATGTTCCTTCATGTTGGTCTGTCTGTTAGAATTGTATTCCTTAAGATGCGACAAGGAAATAGGTATCATTGTCTAGAAAAATCAGAAGAAATAATAAAAAACCCTAAATTGTGTACTCATTTCATCTAACTATTTGCAAATTTTGGATTTAACCATACGTTCTTTTTTCCAGATCAGTAGTTACTTGTCTGCAAACATGGGTCATAATTCAGGAATTCCTGTATAGAGAGAGGTTCTGTGAGCACGTGTTCAGTTCCAGTAAAAATAAAGGGGATATAAGTATTTGGTGGAAATTCTCCTTAATCAAAATCACGGAGTTTTTCCTTGGAAAGTTTCCAGAATATTTGAACAATTCAGCAATAGATTACTAAAAGTATAGAAGTGACAGCTTTGCCCACCCCCATCTATAGGTAGCCTCCTATCAAATGAAATGCTGTTACTGTTGATTGACACTTTGCAATACTGTTGAACATTTTCAGTGAAGTAAATGATAAATTTCAGGATATACTTAAAGCTGTTTTCTCTGGCTATCTTATACAAGTTGTAGACTTCCTTAGTCCCACACTAGAAATGCTCAGTGAAAAATAATGTTAGTTACATTAATAGAAATAGTAAATATATTCAGCATCAGTTCTAAAGTGACATATACAAAGGACATCAGCCTTGCAATGAATTCAAAACAGCTTGCAAATCAGAGCTCAGGTTATGGTCCAGGAGTGCCCCTAAAACCTACTTCTGCTCTGAACGGTGATAGGTGAAAGCTGATAATCGTACGTCCTTCTCTCCCAAAGTCAGACCAGAAATGCTAGCATTTTTATAGAATAAATTAATAGGGGCTGATACTCAATGTGAAGAAACAGCTTCCAATCAGTTCTGGCCTCACGCTTAGGACTGGACATGACAAAGTGGTGCTCTGGCATTCCCAATACCTTGAGGTCAGATTTTGCCCAGAAGTGGAAAACAGGACTGAACTCTATGTCAGAAAGTCTCACTTAAAATCTCTATCTGAAAAGTCTAGACCACAAAATGGAGTTGACTTTATTATGAATATGGTCTGAATTTTAACTTGCTTCTTAAAAACTATGTGCATATACTGTACTAAAAACCAAATACCCTCTTGTGCACAGCCTTGCCCAGTCGCACAAATTTGGTAGAATATGTGAGGAGCCTTGTATTCCATTCTTCTTTGAAGCCCTCCTACTAGAAACTGGGCAGTCCTGTTTGGAAGAACATCCTGTATGCCACTCTCAACAGCTGCTGTAGTTGCTCAGTAGCTTTAAAGATGTCAGTCTTAAGCCATCATTTAGTGTATGCTACAGCTATGGGAAGAAAAGCTGGCTGAATCCTGCCATAACTGCTACTGGAAATCAGTACCTTCAAAAATTGTCACTCAGGTGTCAGCAACACACACAATGTGATGTGATTTCTGGATGTCTTGCCTCTGCTGGTGTAGTAAAGGGCACTCTCACTTTGCTACTAGATGGCACTGGTCAGAACTAGCCTTTGACAGGCTTTCTACTCTTCCTGTGTTGTGATACAAGCTAGACCGCTGAGACAAAAGGAGGAGGTGGAATCTCATTCCCAAAGTCGAAGGATGACAAGGGTGGGAGGCCTGCAGCCTCGAAGGAAAGCTCACTAGGTGAGAAGCTAAGAGACTATCAGAACGTGAGATCTCCATGGGTTTGAACGAAGCCTCAGAACTCCAGAACTTCTGACATACTCCCTAAGTCCACGTTTGCATAAAAATAAAGCTTATGCCATCACAGTCCTTCTGTTTTTGGGCACTCCTCCGTTCCCCGTTGAACGCTTTATTTGGAGAGCCATGACCTGCAAGGCTTTCACAGTTTTGGCAATGCTCACTTATCACTTTTCAGGAGAAATATAATCTGAGGAATTCCTTACCACTAGGCTCTGTTTGTTATTTAAGGGTTATAATGTACCTTTTTGGTCTGGGAACATCAGAAGTACAGATGTACTTTGTTTGCCAAACTATTGTGCAGCTTTCAGCATCTCACCCGCTTTAGTGATTGCCAGGCCATCAGCTGTAGGTCCCATAAAAATGAATGTTCAAAATTATTTTATAATTTTCAAGATCGATTAAAGCATTCCTTGTTTTTATCGTCATTGTAACTGGGGGTGAACGTACTCACCCATCAAAGGCAGAGTGAGGAAAGTGTTGCACTGTAGTCATTTTTGATTAGAACTCATAAAAATGCCATTTTTGTGATCTCAACAGCACAGCTGGAAACATTATTGTCAGAGTCCAGTAGTTAGGAACATATTGTCCTGTTAGCAAAGAGGTGGAAGTCATTAGTCATTAAACTGGCAGCTTGGCATGCTGGGCCAATCAAAGGAGATTTAACTGCTGCGTTAGGGCTAGAATACTCATTAGCTTGCTGAATTGTTACAGCATCTAACTGTGAGGTGGAAGTGAATTTGGTCAGAGCCTAAAAACAAGTTATTGTTAGAAATATTTTTACATACGGTCCTACAGGAGGAAAACCAAAAATTATTAAAGAAATACTGGGAGGATGCATATGAAAAGAGCAAGCACAAACTTTCTGGTTATTTCTGGCAGTTCTGATTCTGATCTTAATGAAAAATAAAGATTTAAGGTATTTTCCTGGTGCTTTGCTAACAGTGACTGTTTTACTACAGTTAAAGTCTATGATTTTGAGAGATGCTAAACCCATGCAACTCCCACTAACTTTAGTGGACCGTTGAGTGTTCTACACCCATAAGGGTTTGGCCATAACTATTTAAAGCAGCTACAAAAATCTATAAATTAAGTTCTGAAATTTCTGAACTGAAGTTGTGCAGTAAACCTCATTCTTATTTTCTTTACCCAAAGACCTTGTAATTCTCACTTAGAAATCCAGCAATTCTTAGCAGGACAGAGTATTTTAAAACCTGTTTTAAACAACAGAGTATTTTAAAAACTGTTAAGATTTTGCAACAGAGTATGGGAGTGACCTTTAAAACGTCAGTATTTGCCCCCACTTATCACAGAGTCACACCTGAGATTCCCTCCCCTCCCCCAAATGAGATATAAAATCGCAAAAGAATACTTGAAATAGAAACAGTGGTTAATGTGTGGTAGTGATTGACAAATGTTGACTTTTTAATGGCTTCCCCAGTATAATAAATCCTGACAATTAATTTAAACTAGTCAGAATAAATGAACAAAGTGCACCTCGGGATGCAATGTTTTTTATTGTGTTTGCTGACTTACTAATCCATAACTTGTATTGATGTGCACTTTGACATTACTGTGAATGAGTGAAGTTCTACAGTAATATTGTTGCCCGTTGACTTTAGGAGGAAAAAAACATGCTAAATAAATCCACATAGTAATATTGTAGCTGCTATTTCAATAATGATTATTAGAAAAATCCATATTCTGGCTTTCTTTTAAACTATTAATAAACATAGAAGAACTTCAAGTTCATTTAAATCAATGCAAATCAGTTGAGGTCCCCTTTTAGTTTTGTACAGCAGGTGAAAGCCCTGTGAAGAAAATGTTAAAGAGTATTTGTGCTCTGAAGAATGTAAGTGGTGTTACAGTTTACTGTCTCGCTGATCCAAAGCAAATCTATCAATTTAAAAATACCTTTTTTTTTTTTTAATTTTTCACAACTTTATTCTAGACCTGAAAAGCTCAACCTGCAGTCAGAGAATCGCATGAAATTATTTCTGGATCACACAGAAAAATCACTCAAGGTTCTTTCAGGCTCACATATCATCAGCATTAGGTTCTGAAAGGAGACCATAACTGACATTTCCGTAGTTAAGGGGTGAACAGCAATAGATTTGTCATCTATCTATAGTTACGTTGGCTCTGCAGAGAAAGCAGGTTTAGCAAGCAAGGAGAATCAGAAATTCCTCTGTAAGTGTTTTTAGTATACCTTAAGGACAGTTTGGTTGAGTTAGGAAGTACCAGTTTTACATAGTTGTTCAGATGGAACCCCACTTGAACAGAAGAAGATTGATTCTGGAAGATCAGCTCTGTAGAAAAGTTGCCTTCAGCAAAACTTTGAGATTTTGTATGTCTGCTAGTAAACTTACTTTTTACAAAGACACTGTAGAGAGTCAAGTTTGCCTAACGTTCCTATGTGCCAAATCCAATTGCATATACCCAGGAAGGCAGGATTTGGCCTTGGAGTTGCCAAAACTCAGCTGTCCTAAGATGGCTACACAAGTATTCTCTTTCCCTGTCTTCTCCTAATCAGAACAGACTTTCTCCCTACGTTTTGGTTTTGATATGTTAGCAGAATAAAAATGACCCGAGAAATTTAATGAACATGGTTAAGATCAGCTCTGCCATAATGCAGGCAAGATTTGCACTTGCATCTTTCAAATGAGACAGTGGATATCAGTGACTTCATCAGCTTTCCTGAGCAGAGTAGAATTGTCTGTTTCTCTTTGTTCTTTACACATGTGCTTTTCATTGTTGGTTTGTCCTGGAATCAGTAGCAGCTTTTTCTATAAGAATACCTTGGTAAAATATTCATCTGGTAAAATTTGAGGTACTTCCATTTATGCTTGCAACTTAAAGGGAACTTCACCAGCTTGCAGGAGCTGAAGATCTGTGAACTTGAAGTTTGAAAACCAGAGCCTGAATCTGCAAGCTTGCCATGTTCAAAGTATTTTTGTTGATGTAACAGGAACAACTCCAATAAGTAAGGATCAGCTGAGTAAGGCTTGCTTGTTCAGATTTTAATCAGGTGAACGCAAGCCACAGATGCCATACTCTTTATCTCAATTTAGCAGGTATTATATGTGATGGTTCAAAAGTTTGAAACATTCCACAAAGGTTTAGTTATTAAGAATGAAATCTTGCCTGTTCCACAATCAGTGTTCAAATCAACCTGATTTTACTAGAGTCAGTTCTCTTCGTGATATACATTCTGCTTTTCTGCCATGGCTGTTACAGGCAGCAGTTTTCCTCCTTCTCCTTCTTCTGACTGCTTACCTGGCAGCATTCCCAAAAAGGAGGGGCTGGTCTGTCACATGAAAATAAGCAACTGCAAATGCAAATCTGCATCTGGCCTGTGCAAATGAAAATAAGAGAGTGTTCCTCCGTATGACACTGGGTAGTACTAAAAGCATATTATCTGTTCTTATACATAATGTAGCAAAATATATGCAAGTTTTGCCTGTAAAGTGTTATTAATTAGGGTTATTAAGTATTTATATTGTACAAGAAGGTGTGTATGTTTCTACTCCTTGTATTGTATTCTAAGGAAATGAGATCAAATTTTGACAAATTAGTATTCTTTCCTACTCTGTATGTCTTGTCTTATATGTTAAAACCTTTAATAGGTTGTAGCTGATTTGTAAAATAGCTGTGTATGGTAGCATTCAGCCTGCACTCTAGTTGTGTAACCGCCACTCTTGTCACCACCCCAGAATGTGAATAATGATGATGATGGTAGTAGGCTTTTAAGTCACCACCAGTCAGTATGATTTCTGTAAGTGGAACGGCATCCATGAAAGCCAAGATGTTGTTATTAATTTGAATGAATGCAGGAGTTATTAAAATAGAAGAAATAGTTGGCATGTTCTTTTTAAACAAACATTAAAAATATGTAGATTGTTACAGAACTGAAGAGCAGCACTTGTTTAAGATACATTGGTGACTCAGTAAACGTAATGTGAATGTCGTCTGTTTGTGAACGTTTAAGTACAAACTCTTTCTCCTTTTCAAACTAGGACTTTAGGTGGCAATTCTTCAGTACCCTCTCCATCAACGGAGCCAGTTTCTTCCCAAGTCTTGTCTCCAACTACTGTTACTTCTCCAAACTTCTACCCTGAGACTTGGATTAGTATGGATCCATCTCAGGACTTCATCCAAGTGCCTGTTTCGAAGGAAGATAAAAGCTATAGAACCATTTATAATCTGTTTCACAAGACTGTGCCAGAGACCAAATACAAAATTTTGAAAATTCTGAGAGTGCAAAACCAGTTTCTTTGGGAGAAATATAAAAGGTAAGATAATGCAAATACCATTTTTTTTACAATAGTGGGAAAGTACCTTACGATGTGTGATTTTGGCTGTAAAATATACATCAATCATTAAGCAGAATACATAAACTTCAGATTTTCTGAAGAAAAGCAGTCTTCAATTGAACGGCTTTGAAAAATAAATATTGCTGGTTGTGTATCCAGAAATCTGCTGTGTAAGAGGTTTTGCGTGCTATGAATAAGTTTATAAAATATATTTTCGCGGAAACTTTAAAATAGATCTAGAGTGTCTGGTTGAAAACTGGATCTTTCCATTCAATTTCAAGCCGAGAAGGAACTGTCTTCCTCAAATAAGGCCTATATTAAAAATAGCTGTACATGTCTTGGTTTCCCAGAACATGGCAACTCATGGTCTTACAGTGCTCTAGCAAAGCTGAGATTCTGTGTCAGTCAGTTCCATTCAAACCCAAGACGATGTATTTGAAAGTTATCATCCACTGGTCATTTAGTAATTGATAGGAAATTAGATTTGTGGATTGTGTCCCTTCTCAAGAAATGCAAAATCTCAGGAGAAATCAAAGGATGGGCTGTGTGAGCACAGAGACTTACAGTATTAATTCTTACAGTATTAATGCCACTATAGAGAACCTTCAGCCTCCCCATCTGACAATAATATCTCTGTAGGGTCTCTTCTGAAGCCCTGGTAGGATTTAATCCTTGCACAGACCTTGTTTTCGCTCTTACGAGGAGTTCTTTCCACATTCGAGGTGACATACAAAGATGAGCAGGCACTTTGCAAGCTTTGTTGCCTCTGCTGCTGTACGGCTGACAGAACTCCAGCCTCCGGCAGTATCATTGTTCAGGACCTTTCAAAAGTATTACATGTGCACAAAAGCTTTATTTTAAAACAGAATACCTATCCTGTTATACATGCAGAAATATTCTCATGTCTTCTCTTACAGCTGTAGTATTCCAGAGGATAGTACTGATACTTTTTACTTTAAGAGTTGCAGTGAAAATTCATTTTCACGTGCAGAACTACGGTGAATATTCATCTATGCCTTTCATTTCTATTCTAGGAAAAAGGAATATATGTCTAAAAAAATGACTGGGCTTGACAGAATCATGAACGAAAGGCATTTGTTCCATGGCACCTCCCAGGACGTAGTGGATGGAATCTGCAAGCACAACTTTGACCCACGTGTCTGTGGGAAGCATGCCACCATGTTTGGACAAGGCAGTTACTTTGCCAGAAAGGCAAGCTATTCTCATAACTTTTCCAAAAGGTCACCCAAAGGAGTTCATTACATGTTTTTGGCTAAAGTACTGACAGGAAGATACACAGTGGGCAATCACACCATGAGGAGACCTCCACCTGTGAACCCTGGCAGCATTACTAGTGACCTCTATGACTCTTGTGTGGACAATTACTTTGAGCCTCAGATTTTTGTCATTTTTAATGATGATCAGAGCTACCCTTATTTTATTATCCAGTATGAAGAAGTTAGCAACACTGTCTCCATTTGAACATCTGTGCTGCTAAATTATTCATTTTAATAAACTCTATTATCTGACATTTGTAGCAGTTTTTGTGGAAAAAATTTGGACATTGTAGAACTGATTAAAATTACTTGCTTGGAAGGAGGGAAATCTCAAAATACAAAAAAGAAGATCTGAAGTGACCGTTTGTGCGCTTGCTGTTTGATTATGTATGTGCAAATTGTAAATATCTTTCCATTGTTTATAGTTGAAAATCTGTGCCTTTTGTTATTAAACACTGTTTATTTATGTTAGTAAATATTCATGCTTAAAAAAGTTTGTGCATATAATTTCAATTGTTATGTGTATATTACAGCGGCGAGAAAATTGTTTATGCCCTGATCTTGAAATCTGATGGACAGCCATTTCTAAATAATCAGAACCAGATAAATTTCATCCCAATAATATTAAATAAGAGATTCTCCGGACCATTAGTTGTTATTAATTTATTTAGAGAGCTAAGCAAAATTTACGTGCAGAAAGAGGGAGGGAGATCACAAAACTAACGTTATGCTCATACTTCAGATTATTAAACATGACAACACAAATAAATGCATCATTTTCTGACATCAGTCCTAAATGCAATTAGGAAAAGGTTAGTATGGAATACACTCCAGGAGGATTTAAAGCAGTATGGCTTCACAGCAGCTTATGGCTCATCAAGTTTATTATTTTTCTGTGCTCTGGCCTTGTGGTGGGAATGGGAATGCCACCTGGGAAGCTGTCAAAGGCCATGTCCATGCTGTTGAACCGTGTGTCATCCAGTCCCAGTTGCTTTCAAACACCCTGAATTAAAGGAGTATAGCTTTATGGAACAGAAGTCTTGGAAAAGAAACCTCTAGCCCTCTTTTAGATGAGATTTTAAATTTGATAAAGGAGGATTTTTGTTAATGTCACTTAAAATTAATGAAGCTGATATTAAATGAATTAAAAATTGATTGATACATTCAAAAATGATTTTGAATATGTGATCCTCATTTAATTAGGGGTATTTTTGTTTTTTCCAGGCATCTATGCTTGGCTCAGTTGCTCTTCAGTATGTTTAGTGGTGATCTGGAAAAGAAATATAAAGTCATCAGTAAAATTTACCAGTGACGCAAAACCAGAAATGATAGATAATGAAATAGACAGGTCAGTCATTCAAAGCACCCTGTATTGCTTGGTAAGGTAAGCTCTTTTGAACAACATGTGTTTTAAGGTGTCGTGATGCAAGATTATATAGTTGTATTCTGAAGGCAGGAAGAAGCAGTCTTTAAAGTGGGATCTGAATTTCAGAACTATGATTTAAAATTCAGGAAAAGTTAAGTAAATAATAATCTGCATTCCAAATCTTGGCATATTTGGCATTTGCAGTTCAATCTGTTTTTTCTGAGTCATTTCTAAAGTATCGTGCCACTGTGAAAGCAGCATGCTCAGAATTCACAAGACTCCACCTTGGGAGTGACCTTCCCTGCCTGCGCACAGCGTGCTCTGTTACTGACCGTCAGTTGGGTTTGTTTCACCAAAGTAATAAAAAGTTTGTCACAGGCACGCTCAGGTCCCTGCTAGCTCGTGTTCTACCATGCGGTGTTAAAAAGGCAATAGCTATGACAGGCTGGCTAACATTATACAATTTTAGCTCCATGACAAGTGTTATCATTCACAGCCCAGCAAGATTAACCTTCATAATTGTTCACCTCAAGCAGTTCCAGTGAGGAAAAACTGAGATGCACCTGTTCCCATTAAGTTTTTTACTTACGTATCTCTTTGTAAAAATATACACCTCCTTTATGAGCATGCATGTGACCTAAGAGCACTTGCCTAGCGTCCACAGAGCACTAGTGGCCGTTGTATCTGCTCACTGAAGTAGAAGGTGTCATGATTTTCTTGGAGGTGCAGGGAGCATCAGAGTGCTTTTTGCTTCTGTAGTGCAGCAGCGACCCTTCAGCTGAGTCTGGAACGGTTCATTTATGATAATGTTTTCTGTATCCACTTTGTGGCCTAATAAAAACCTGTTTTGCTATGGGAGAGAATTAGTTACTGTCACCAGCACTCCTACTTGTTTCCATCACTGTATTCTTGCTACCTGTAGTAGATTAAACCATCTCGTAGGCCAGAAGAGGGGGGGAGATCCAAGCAGCTGGTTCCGATTAACTACCAGTCTCTTCTGAGGCTCTTGGCGGTACAAGAGAGCCCTGAAAGCTGAGAGAGTTTGTCTTGGGGAAGCAGATTAGCAATGTGTGGTAGGATAGGAGTGGCTGTTGTGGATGTAAAACGCAGAGGAGCTGGTTGCTTGCTGTAGCCTATTTCCTTGAGGGGTATTTTCAAAAAGGTAAGGTGGTTCATGAAGAAATGGATTGTGGTTGATGGTAAAGCCAGGCCTAGGCTGTCTCCTTTAGGAGCTGCTAAATCTTTTGGCTTACTTTCCCTTCCTTCCTATGATAATCAGGCTTTTGTGCAATAGCTCAGGAATCCTGGTGCTGCGAGGTGGTAGCGTGCTGATGTGTGTGTTTTGTTTGGCTCTAATGGGACTGGAAGATGAAATGGTGTCTTTGCCACCAATTGTACAGCCCTCTAGAGTCTCCTGGAAAGAATATTGCCTGCTGCAGCTCAAATGCTGCTCTCCAGGTGGAGGAGATGGAGGGAAGCAGGGCGGTTGCTATGGCAAAGAGTAGAACTGGGCTGTACTGTCCACCCATGCACGTCTGTGCTCTTGGAGCCTGTGGCAACACCTTGGAGGGGGACAGGCTGGGAACTGCTTCAGCAGCAAGTCAGGCTCCGTTTGCTGAACTGATTGGTTTGGGGCCGTTTTATTACACTTAGAGTTTATACTGTGTATATATGTGTGTATACACAGGTGGTGGCTTGCTACAGGACTACTGACAGAACCACTCTGTGTATAAGGTACCTCTAAGCCCTTCCACTGCTTGCGTTCTGCCACATACATATACCATATATTGGTATACCACAAGTATACCAATATTGACTATGAAAAACATATTTAGTTTCTTAACCACTCATGTGTGCCTGTGCTCTAAACTGAGTGACTAATTCCTAAACTTATAAAATATGAAGGAGATCCTTCTTTTCCCTCCTGCTACACAAACAGCACTTTAATGCGTATGATGAGCAAGGAAGCGCTTCAATTTTATCATAGTTACAGGTGATACAGCCGCTAAGCTCCAAGTATAACAACATTCACTGAACTGCAGTAACTCTCAGTCTACATCTTCAGCAAGGAGATGAGAAACTCCATAGAGTTGCTAGGGAGACATATGGAAGTAAATCTGCTGTTCAGTGAAAAGGAAACTGGCTCCAGCTGTTTACTTCCTTTTCATCTTTTTTGAAAAAGGGTTGATGTTCTTGTGGCTTTCATGTTTAGTAGTTCCCCCCCATGAAAGGCTTCTGGCCAGTTTTACACTCAGATAAACAGGATCGCTATGGAACATGAAACTGCTGCTGAGAGGGGGAAGAATCATCTGTTATGAAGGGTACGTTACAAGAATACAAAGCCTCATGCTGAGAAGTGGAGACTTCCCTCGGTTCTCAAGCAACTTTCAGGGAAATTGGTCATGTTGTAATAGAGTTTTGATATTTTCGGAGACTGCATTCTGTTCTGTCCCTCCTGTTCCTAAGGAGCTTTTATAAAAGTCAGAGCACAGGAGTATTTATCTTCTACCAGCAACTCCCTATCTAAGAAGGGAGGAGGCGTTGGTAATGGATCGTTCTTATCATTTGTCCTCAAGCGTTAACTGAGGCTAATTAACCACAATATTGTCTCTTTTCATATTTGCATTCTAAAACTGCAATTTCCTAAGTGTATGAGCTGGATCAACGAGATTCATAGGAATTCCTCTGTCCTCCAGTTCACCTCTCAATCCATAATAAAACGAACAAAAGCTTAGGACGTGAGAGGCTTAATGCCTCTCTGATGCCAGACTGAGTGGGGACTCCCCAGTTGTTGAATGCAGCCCTTCTACTGCCTGTAGGATTTCCTCTAGCTCAGTGCTAGACTACTCGGGACTGGGAGCAGAGCAGCTCCTCTGTTGCTTTCCCTATCTCACATGGAGACTCGAGGAATGACAGTCTCAGTGCCAACCAGGGCCATCTGCACAGATAAAAACACAGTAGCAGAATCTCTGCAAAGACTATAACAATCTCTGTTATAGTAACTTCCCTGTGTGAACCTTTGCTCTCATCCTCCCTCTGGCTCTTACGAGCCTGAGGAAAAAGAGGTGCGTTTGGCAAGACAAAAAGGGATTTCATTTAAAAAACTCCGGCACTGGTGATGCTCTGCAAACGGTGCCCTGAGAGTAATCCATTAAAGTCGAACCAGACGTTGCTTGTAGGTAGTCTCTAACACCGACAGGCACCCAGTTTCCATTCAAAGGCAGAAGTTTGGCTCTCCTAAGATTGGAAGCAATGCAGTTACATTTACCGCTGTTCATTGTCAGAAAGGCTGCTAGCAAAAACCTCCTCCTCCTCTGAACAACTGATTTGCTCTACTAGACTTTGTGCGGTCTCCAACCAAAAACTCTGCCGTGGAAACAGTGTCATGTAAAACCAAGTTTGGTTGGGAGACTTAAATTGGCAAACTCGCTGCCTTGTAACGAGTTCTTGTGACAGTTTTCTTCTACTTTGGTATTTTTAGAATATCATCCTAAGCTAGTTAAAATAGTTGCAAGGGTTGATGATAATAGCTCTGTCAATATGCCACTAGCAATATATTGACAATATTTATGTTGCTTCCATGCCAACCTATTCCAAAAGTATAAACCATCTCACAAAGGCTTATCAGCTTAGCAGCTCCTTACCGTATAGAGATAGAATGGCAGGGCTCTGTGTTGAGGGCAAAGGACCTGATTTCCCCTTTCCTGCCTATGTAAGTTTGAAGTTATGTGGTCAAGATCAACAAAGTTCTGCTAGCATGAAAGAAGAAATAGGTCCCTAGCTGCAGTCATAGACTTGCGGTGTCCTAGCAGGCCTCTTCACTGGACCGTTAACTCCTGTTGCTGCACCCTTAGTCACTGCTCAGACTCCAGCCTTTCACAGCTATGTGCTATCTTAAATACAATATAGCTGGTCTGTGGGAGCAAAGGGCTAGAGTAGGTGTCACGTTTCACCTTGCACTGTGAATGCAAGCCAAACCAGTCGAATGCGGATGAGCCTCCAGTGTCTTCCTATAATTCTCCCAGAGTTAGTAGAAGAATAATCTTGTCTTTCATCAGTAAAGGGGGAAAAAAACTAACCAAACAAAAAAAAAAAACAAAACCGAAAGAGGAAAAATCGCTGGGA